GGGCAATAGCGATACGTGGACATTGAAAAACGTGGACATGAACTACATAGCCAATGTCCACATTTTGCCAAGTGGGTAACGCAGATTTGCGAAATTTTGGTTGCGTTTTGTGCTATAGTCAGGTCCTGTTCGATGCTCTTGTATGTAGTACTTGATTGCATGGGATCTAACCATAGCGCGGGACGGGACTAAAATTGTGCAAATCTGCGTTACCCACTTGGCAAAATGGACATTGGCTACGTAGTTCATGTCCACGTTTTTTAATGTCCACAGAGGGCGTATCGCTTTCTCCAATCACGAAAAACGCCGAATAGCGCCATTTCCATATCGCTCGAGAGTTTTTGCTTTATGTTAATTGAGTAGTTTTATACCGAGTATACAATATACATATGTATATACCCAGATATCACAAAGAATCGAAAAAGAATTCGCTTTTATGTCACTAATTTCAAGGTAATTCCGAAAGAATTTGAAAAAGTGCAACTTAGGTATGTATATACTGTGCCTTCCAATTTTCCATCGATTAGATGTAAAGACAACTACAATAAAGTTGAAGATGAGAGACGAAGATATTTTCCAACCGGTAACGATGTCGATTTCTAAAATGAATCAATAAATTATTTCTGACCGAGTATAATTTCTAAGCAATTATTGCGATACGATACATTGTCGTATCACTTGTCCGTCAATCTTTCTTCTCTCAAACTATTAAGTCTATTTCAGTTTCGAATTAATATATACGTAGGTAATGTTTCATGTTTCATCCTGCATCTTTTCCGCGAAATTCGCTGCAGTCCCGTGGTTGGTTGACCGATCTTTTCTTCCACTAATAATCTCGGCGACGTGTGACTGCATGTCATCTAACGGTGGGATGCTAGGAAACGAAGTAGATGGGAACGAGTCGTAAATATATAGAAGCAATGGGGTTTCAAATAAAGATGAAATTTTTACACTACAACTTTTTTACAAGTTGCTACATATGAAATGTCGCATTTTTACTAATTGAAAATATTCTAGTGTTTCTATAGCCATTTAATCGTTCGTATATCATTATATCGCTTATTGTTGTAAGTATATAAGAATAATGTTACTGCAGCTATTTAATAAAGCTCTTGGAAAAAACACTGTTAAGAAAAGAAGGGTATAGCATTGGTTAAAAAAATTCCATTCTTTACAAAATAAGTTGCATGGTAAAATTTCATTTAATAGTGCTATTCCAACAACTTCAATAGAAGAAAATTCTAATCAAACGACAAAAGAACTCGCTAAGAAAATGGAAATATAAATGATAATAAAACATTTCATTAAAGATGCGCTGCCAAGAAAAAGCTAAAAAGCAATTCGTCCATTTTATAAGTACAGATTTCTCTTAGAAATTGGCATATTCTTATTAAGCAACCTATCTTTCGAACAAATTGTAATTATTTATTCAAATATCTCACATTTCATAAGAAAATTTGTAAGAACCCGTTTGGAAACTAAAGTGTTATTTTAGAAAATAATCGTGTCGCTTTGTAACGTGACGTAAATATTATATATTTCGTATGTAATAATATAAATCAAAGGAGAAAAAGGATAAAATGTAGAAATAGTTGTACAATATACTTACTTTGATGTAAGGGCTGGCAAGCAAGCAAATATAATAATGTAATAATCATAAATCTTGTATGGGAGTAGGATTAGAGGGATCTTGGTGGTAATAGAAATTTATTTGTGACAATAATGTTCAAGTATATGTATATTACTGACAATCGAATTTCGCCGCATCGCAAAAGTACTTTGCAGCTTAAACCGCTCTCGTACTTGCTTAGGTCTAAAAGGTGTCAATAAAAATAGCGGCTGATGAAAATCAGTTTTATTAACAATATCGTCGTAAGCGTTATAAATATGCATACTTCTCATTTTGATTGGTTCTGGGGATCGTATCGATCTTATCTCCGAAGAAATTGTCATCGAATGACAGTATATTTTAGCGAGAGACTCGTCGCTGTTGCCACTTTCGATCGAACGCCACGACGGACTCGCATCAAATAGCTCGCAATTAATTACATGCACACCTGCGTGCGTGTACGGTACTCCTAAATATATCTCGTACTCGTAATAAGACGGACTTATACAAGTACAGCTACAGCGTTTGATTTCGTGCCACTCTCTTGTTCGTTCGCTCTTACGCCTCGTTATTTTTCTCATACATATCGATACAAAATAAAAACGGTAATAAAATCTTCAGTTGTTCGGCTTGAACGTCGTGTATTGCGGCAGCTTCTCACTCTTGTAATGGGGCTTCAATGTCGCTAAGCGATCGGGTTTGAGAAACAGCTGCTCCCCCTGCACAATTCCCATCTTAGGATCTTAACCCTCGGTAGCTCGCAAATTTCCATCGGAATTAGCCTGCTGCTGCTCATCGAACAAGTCGAATCTTGAATATTTATTACTGATTTAGGACGTTTGTCTTTCATAGAAAAATTATTACCCATAGTTACATAACATCAACAATTATAAAATTATGTTGTTGAATAGGAAACCTTAGTATACATTTGATTAGTGGAATGTATGGTAAAACTTTAACAAACTCTCGTAAAATGGTGTTTGCTGGATCTCTTAAAAAAGTGAGAATTAAGTTTTATGTCTAGACGGAAAATGTGTGATAAATTACACGAATATAGATATAATTAATGGGCGCGTGTGTAATATCCGTTTCGTAAAAAAATGCGAATTTAGGAGAGCGTGAAAATAAGCTCTCTTCGTTTAATTAGCTCGGATTCACGGTTCGACGTACAGAGCTGCAGAAGGCTAATGCGGACTTGATGCGAATGCACCAACGGGGGGGGATTGCTACCATAACGTTCTACGGGTTATTACTTGGCAGTCAGGGATAGAAACTAGCGTGGGTGCAATCTGTGCAATTCTAGGCGCGTCCGAGACACGGCACGCGAGGACGTAAAGTTGCAGGGGTTGTTCTCTACACCCTTGACAACACAGGTACCAAATAATCCAGGCTACAGTCGGGTAGCAAATCCAGCATGGCATTGTAGAGCGCAGGCAAGGCCGAGACTAAAGAAGTAAAATACGTGTGCACGTATACGAGTATATGTATATAATAATGTATAGCAAGGAACGTACACGTGTTGGATTGTACATAAATACAAATACGATATCTTTAATAATGAGATACAAGGCGATTAGTATAAAGGGATTTCGGTCGTGTCTCGTTAGGAGTTAGGATCGGGATATACGTATGGTATATGGGTGTGATGAGAAATGGTACCCACATGTACGATCACTTTTTAATGATGACAACTTTATACACGAAAAGGAACTCGGCACAACTCCTCGAAACTGTCTCGTACGCCGTACAGTCAAGTCCCATATCGTTAATCCGATTACAAAGTCAATGGCTTAATTAATGACGATGATAACAGGAGATAGCTGACTAGGACGACCCAGGTGAACGGTAAACAATACGGTAAGCGCCGTATTTGAGTTGGATGAAAGTAATCGCGGCGTGGGGAAAGTTTCTCTGTACACAATCTCGCAAAGTGCAGGGCACATACAAAATGCAATTCCGGCATGCTCGGCTCGTTGGTCGACACGTCCTGAAACGATCTGTACAGCCTCCGATTCTCCCATTTTTCCGAGGGTCTCTCGTTGAACCGATAAATTATTTGTATACGGCTACTATACAACTGCGAATCGAATCACTGTCGGCTACCGGCTGTTCAAACTGCCCCTTTGCAACAGCAACGTGCAGGCGCGCATTGTCGTAGAGCGCATTGTCGACAAACGCACGTGGGCGATTACACACATCGCTGTTAACGTCAGACTTTCATTAATTGGACGACGATTCGTACGTTAGATCGTCATCTAAACGGGTATACGTATGTATATGCGTATGTACATATGCGTCTGATGCGTCCGATAGATAGCAACGTTATCGTCATTAAATCGTAATGAGCATAGTTTCGATTACTAATTAGTACCTATGATACAAACGCTTCTTCAAACGGTGCTCTTCGACGGTTCGCTCGCAACGCTTGCGTTGAACGTGTCAAGCATACGACGTCAACGATCGGACGAAAGAAGAAGATAAAGAAAGAAGAATTAGGTACGTCGGTAGTATTTTATATAATCGCGCCTACGATTTTTAAACAATGGCAGTGTGGGGTAATAATGCGTGGCAGTAACGAGTTAACAATTAATTACGGCTATTCTTCTCTCATAATCTCTCTCTCAACGACTGGATCATCTCGATGCGCGATCGGCCGTCCGTCATTAAGGGGGCTGCTACTTGCGAGCGTAAATTCGGCAATCTCGGGTCGAGCTCAGTCTTACGTTCTTGAATCCCGCGGGACGCGCGGCTGCAGGGAATACACTCCTTTCTGGATGCAAGCGAAATCAGAACAGAAGACGAGATGAGCGATCCCCCGCGTGAGACGAGCCGAGGCTCGGCGAGGAGAATTGATAGGAATGAATTCCGCTCAATTCAGCTTAATCCGGCTTACTTTTTACATTGCTGAGACGGAATCGACCGCGGGGCGGAATTATCGTCGACACGCTCTACTTATGTACACATCTATCTAAATTAAATTACAAACAAGGACACAGCGGTAATTGGTGGAGGGACACCCGGGAACTAGATGCAACCAAATGCATGCGTAATGCACCCTACCGAGCGCATAAATCACTCAAGCGACTATCGCGATCGGAGAACGTGATACGTTCGATGTTTGCGCGAGCAGCGCGTCGTGTCGTCGCATAAGTATTGTAATTTAACGTTGGATCGTCTAAAAACTTGTTGCGCGAGTCGCTAATGGATGTGGCGTCGTCTCCCGTATAATCGCATAGTTATATTATACATATAACGATCGTAACATCATAATAAACTTTAGCACGCGAGAATAAGCGCGAGCGAGGATGGCGTGCGCGTTAATTACTTTCATCGATGTAAAATAGGGATCTCCAACCCGCGGATGCAGCCTACATCACAAGTTTTATCTGCCAAGAAATCACACAACGAAAGAACTTTGAAGCGATTTGCAAAAATAATCACTTGTCTGCCGGTCATTACAAAGATTGGTAAAATCCTCGTAACGAGAAGGGTTGGAGACCCCCGGTGTGAAATATGAAGAAATTTTTCGACGACCCAGTAGAATGTGTGTTGGGTACATTAAAACGTAACGTGTGTCTATATTTATACATCTCCACGTTGGTCGTGTGTGTCGGGAACAAATACAATATTTTATTTATATATAAAACCCTCGAGATCTTTCCGGGAGAAAAGGTGGAAAGTTTGCGCTCCTCGTTCCTTGCCTTTTTTAATCCGATTTAGCGTGTCCCGTTCCTCGTCCTGTAGAAGGAATTTTTCCTGCGCCAAGATTGCTCGCTCATTGATTCAATTAATGAATATACGGGTATACGGTTGTGCGGGGCGCGTCAACATTTAAAAAGAGCCGTAATCTGATATTTTCCTTTTCTGCGCGTTTCACTTGACGAGCCCCCGAAAGCGGACCGTTAAAGGAAATAATAAATAAATGCGATAATCACCGACGATTTGTTTCGCAATCGGGTCAAGTTGCATGCACTTGCAGTTTTGCCTTGGCGAAATTTTAACGCACGTGCTTTCCGAGTGCAGTGAATTAAGCAAGCGATTGAAAAAGAATCTTGTCTAAAGAGGAGTAGCTAATGCTGCTGACCGATGCAATAAATTCCAACGAACGGGGAATATCAGGTCTTTGTGTGTGTCAAGCGTTGATCGCAAACGAAAACGTAGGGAGACTTGAAAAGAGTGCATTTCTCTTATTATTCAAAGTTATCTGATGTTTCGGCAAAATCGATAAGAGAATTAATCTTTCGTGAAAAATGTTAACATACGTCAATCGTATAAAAGTTTTGTAAAACCAAACACGTTACGATACAATAGAATTTATATTATTGTATCCAAGAGTCAATACGGTGTTGGAAAGTTGCGCAAAATGATGTACGACCAACACTTGATCACTGACTCGAAGCGTGCTCGAAGGAATCGTGTTGAAAAATGGTGCCAACTTGATTTGCAATTGAGATGCAACGGTACGTGACAAATAATGAAATGAAAAGCAAGAGAGGGGAAGGAAAGGGAGAGAAAAGGACTTTGGGCCACGCGCGCTGTATAATTTTATTTCATTTTATTTGCAACTTAACTGACCTGCAACGTATATTGTCCGTGAGGCTGCCCATGGTGATGATGCCTCTGATAATGTGGCTGTTGGTGTTGCGGGTCGTGCTGATAACACTCTTGCTGGTATTGCTGCGACGGGACGGGCTTCAGAACGTGATTCGCTCGCTTCTCCGGGACGAACTGCTGACTCGCACGGTCCATCGTATCCACCGCTAGGCGTGGATCCTCTATCATAGCGTTGGAAGCCTTTGTACTGTGTGGAAACGGTGGATATCATCCCGGGTTCGTTTCATTAGACGCTTTGTATATACTAGACATCCCGCACGGTAAATGCCTTTCGGATAATCCTTTTAAAGGGATTCGCCAGGAGATTCAGATTGAAAGGGAATTTTAATCGCAAATATGCACCAAGACGATCTTGTTAATTTTGTCACGTAAAGTCACTCAAATTACTTATTATTCGTCAGGTGTAATACGAGACGTAAAAGCTTTGAAACAAGTTTCATTGTTTTTTTCTTCTCGAACAAAACTCCCGCGTTCCTGCGTATGCAAATTCATAGATACGAGCTCCGGAGCACGGCTCTGGTCAAATGTACACAATATTGGAGTATCGCGCGTGATCCACGGGCGCCGTCTACTCCCGCCTATAAATCACCCCGCGCGGCGTAATATCGCGTGCTTACCAATGCACTTGCTGCAGCGCCGGTACTGCGTTTCTGGCTACGCAGCATCTATCCGAACGTAGGAAACAAACGAATCCCATTATCAGTACCGAGAGCACCGTGAATCCGGCCACCGCGCCGATAACGAGTGGGATCTGGGGACCAAGAGTAACATACGATATACTTTATATCGATATCGCACAGAAATATTGTATAAATTCGCAACTTGCCAGTTTGTCGATGAAAAGAGCTTGCGACTTGGACAACGTTAAGAAGCCTTGAGAGGAATAGGCAAGCAAGATAGGAATAGCAAGTAGGAATAGCAAAGCGTTACGGCTGCAACATTTACCTGGCCAGGCTCATCGACTTTCAGCATGAGCGCTCGTCTGTCACTGCCACGATCGTTCTCCACGATAACATGGTACAGCCTTTGATCCTCTTTCACTGTACTCGTCAACTCTAAGATCGCTATGTAACAATCCTCCGAAGCCAGTGGTTCCAGATCGAGCGCGCGATAGCGCGGCTCCAGAACTTCGCCTGCCGACAATACAACGACTCCGTGCATATCTCGACAATTTGTACTTATTCTTTACTGCCTTTTCTACGAGTAACTGAAAGAACATTTCGCCAAATAACCAACACTTAATCCAAGTTATCGTTAAAAACTAAACAAGAAATGTTGAATAAATATTAATAAACACAGAGAAACGTAGTACTGAGACCGAAAGTAATATTTCTTCAATTATGTTGTCTATTTCAGTTGAAGAAATACTGCCAACTGAACTACTTACAATTAGTAATCAACAATTTCCTTCACGCGCGCGCGCGCGCGCGCGCAAAAAAAAGGCTCTTTCTTGGATCTGTTGGAAAATTGTTTCTAGTCTGCAAAATGTATAGCAGCAACATTCTAGTAATACTTTCTAGAAAGTTGGTGGTTTCGTGACTAAATATTAATCGTTCACATTGGATAAAAATGAATTTCGGTACCGTAGCTAGAAAATTGTTGCTGCAGTTGCTCACCAGTGATAAATTTCCATAAAGACGTAGGAGGAATGAAATAAAATGTATTCTAGAGAACTCTCGATAAGGTAAAAAAAATTGCGTTAAGAGGGACTAATTGGTCGTCTCGAATAACGACGGGCGTGAAAAATTGAGCCGAGCATTCGGTGGATCGATTTGGGCCTCGCAGGAAATTGGACGGATGTCTCAAGATCGGAGCGATCTCGTGGCTCGGGTGAATCATCAATTAACCGAGGAGGTAATTGCGAGTGGCGGGAGGATTGTCGATCGAAGTACCCGAGGTCGTGGAGTGCCAATTATGTCGGGTGGAGTGCATTGAAAAAATATGTACGAAAGAGCAACCCCTCTCTTGCCGCTGATTCAACGAAGGTGAAGAAAAGTTTAACGGAATGAAAACGAAGACGGAGAAAGAAAGAAGCGTTAATAACTACGGCGTTCCGTTTGTAGCATTCGTTTGTAATATTCGAAACAAAAACCCAAGTAAAGTTTATACATTAATGGTTCGTTGGGCGGTGATGACGGACGTTTCGTTTCACGGGAATCACGGGAATCACGAAGAGGCGTAACGAGGGAAGACTCGCTGGAAAAAGTTGGCGGTCGAGGTGAAAGTCAAAGTAGAATAAAGTAAGGTCGAGTCAGCCCGACGTCATGGCCGTAATAATTTTAGCGCGCGAACAACGTGCCACGAAAGTGGTATCTCTTTCGCGTACTACACGTCGCCCATGCCTCTCGTGTTTACTGACACGTTTACAAAGATAAAGAGCGCGGATGCGGCTATCATTTGCGGCTAGCTCGCGCGGCGAGCGATCTAGAACGCCATTGTATTGCGAAGAGTGATACAAAGCGCGGCCGAGAGATCAATGTTCCCTTAAACTCTAATAGAAAGTTCTGCGAATCGAGTCATTAATTCGCTTAGCCCTTTCTATCTTTCCTCTCCGGATGATGCTCTTCGTTTACTTAAGCGATACCAAATTTTCATAAGTAATCCTTAAAGGAGTCTTTGTTTCATTCCTCATGAAAATTAAATCAAGTTTTTGCAAGTTTTTACAGATGTGACAATTCCAACTTTTATAAGCATTGTAAGATAAAATCAAACTTTTTTTTTCTAAAATCTTGTCACAGATAATACAGAACATATCCATTGTGTAAAATATTATTTTTACACCTTTTTTCAATCGTTTTAACAATTGAACTCTTGTGTTGAATGAACACAACAGCAATACAAATTTTAACCGATCAACACTTTTCGACGAGAAGAGAAATTTCCTGCGTACGTTTTTATATCACGTTTTACATACGTGATCGATTATGCCAGACGACACTAACGACGATGTCGAGAGATAAGAGAGGGAAGGATGATCTCTCTCTCGATCCAATTATTCAAATTACATACATACTTCTCTCGCTACGAAACGTATCCGAGGATAATAGAAAAGGTTACGTTCTATTATATCGGTTGGATTATTCGCCCGTCGAAACGCGAAACTTGTAATAACAGGACACGTACGTGCACGCAGAAGGAGGCAAAAGGAGACAAAAGGAGGCGAAAGGAGGCGAAAGGAGGCAAAAGGCCAAAGCAAAGACAAAATGGAATACTTGTTGCGATAGTTTGAGGGAAGCAGTCTCTAACCGGCGTGCAGTCTGGTGCTACCCCATTCCCAGGCCACGAGCCGCGGCTTCGGGTCGGAGCACAGTCTGATCTCTAATCTGGCCGGGCTACCCTCCGTCGTCACGACGACAAACTTCTCTGTGATGGCCGGCTTCACCACCTGCGACACATGTTTAACGTCCTTTGAATGGAAAGTTGCTCGCTGCGACCAACCCTCTCGCGGTCATCGGACGGCGAACGTGAGTGTCGCGAGTCGCTTTCCGTTCGGAGCGTCTCACGGCTCTGTCGTTTTGCGAACAAAATCGCGTTAGAAGGAATAATATGGCGCTAAAAGAATTATCGTCGTAATTAGATTCGTCAAAGTTGTATACGCTTTATACAAAGAGGATTCATCGACGCGTGCAAAAAACGCGTTCGGCAATTCTTGTCATTTCGCTAACGTACCGGATTTTGTGAAAGAGATAATATCGAGAAATGTGACACACAGAGATATCGTTCAATACGAATGATACGTGACTAAGCGCTAAATATCACGTACGTTTGATGAGCAAAAACTGTCGTCAAAAACCCGTGAATACCGTTTCTCGATCGCGAAAGTAACTTGTAATTTATGACGCGCATTATATTTTAATTCATTGTTACGCCGTCCGGTGCAGCGAGTCGCGAGATAAAAACATTGCCATACGGACACATTTTTCACATTATGAACACGCTGAAATAATTCCTACTCATTTCTGCTGCGGTATCGCACGTTTGCACATACGATACCGTAGTCATAATTAAAACATTGATTTGATTACAGCGTAATCGACATTTCGACTGATTTCCAGGTAACACGCCTATGAAATAAATAAATCGCATAATAACGTTTTTCGATTGCTCCTTTCGCGCGCGCGATATTCGATTCCCGAGACCATGTAATATAAAATTGCCGTGTATGCGTGCGCGCCACGCCGAAATCAATTTGGACGAGATATCGACATTAATAGCGCTGTCGAATTTCAACAGATGAAATGGTTTCGTATTAAATGAAACGGAAATCAAACCTTTGTGCAGCCAGTGACCTGCATTAAGTTGCGCGCGTTCTGTCAGTAGGTAACAAAAAAACATGACGATATATTAAAATTGACTTCTTTTTCGTCAACAGTTGAATAATTAGCTGTTGAATTCGGCCATTGATCAGAATCGAATTGCCAAGGACTGTAATATCACGTTAATTGGAGTATAATTTAATCTCTATCGCGTGCGGTTGCAGTTGTTTACGAGTTTCACTTGCGATATGCGCTTCTGAATATAACGTACAAAAGAATGTCGAGTATATAATATAAAATATGTAAAGAATTAAATAATCGGACAAAGTCTGTAATAATTAAATTATACAATTTGTGATTTGTTTGAAAATAGCTTGCCATTATACGCATATTCACGATAGGATTGTTATGTATGGAAGCATTGAAATGATCCTTTCAATTAATTGACCCTATGGTTATTTTTACAAGTCCGCGAACGAAACAATAACACGTCTGCACCTACGTGATACCGATTGGCGCCCTTTTGAAGGAAACAACGCGGTTCGTTACAAATAACCAAGATATCGATTTTTAATACCGTTTATGCCGCACAATAAAACTCGATGGCGCAATGCGTACGTACTATATTGTTGGCGATTGGAAAACTGGACAAAGGACAATTGCCATTAAAAATGCATTTCAAGTCGCATACTAGAGCATTTTCTCCGTTTGTATATACATGGAAGAAAAATCATTGTATATAATATATCTAACACCGAGTATCGTCAAAATAACCTTGGAATCCTCGCGTTTCTCTACGAGATAACGAAGCAGAACGAGATTGATGCGCGGAAGCAACGTTTCTTCTTCGTTACAAACTACATTCCACTCCTTTTCTTTTCCGCCGACATTACATCCGGACAGTCGAAGCTGAACGACGGACTTGGGACAAAGTATTCGCGCGGATGTTCCGTTACCGCTCGCGAGAGATATTCAATGATCCGAGAATCCCGGTAAACTAATGAAGCGATATTTTTTCGCGTCGGGCCCGCCGGAAACGCTATTCGTCAACGTCGCGGGCTTCCCTCGGTAATTCTGATTTGCAGCGAAACTTTTTCAACGTTCCGATGCGTCGTCTTACCCGTGGGGCGCCGACCACTTGCAGGGACACAGGGTCGCTTTTAACTTCCCTGATGTTGCCATTGATCTTGTTGGAGGCGAGACATATGTATTGACCCTGTTGCTCGTACGTCACGTTCGTCAGGATCAATCGCTGTCCCGTGCCGCATTCCAACGGCATGCGGCCGTCCGTGAATATCTGTGCCCATCTGCATACGCATCATCGCACATCGGAAATTTGCAAATTAAAGACACTTGCAAAACAAACTTCCGCGTATACGTGAATGAGAACAAGCGTGAGTGTAAAGGAAAGTAAAGTGGCAAACAAGTTTTATAAAAGAGAGCGAAACAAGCTCTTCTTATTATTGCCTTGTGCGCAAACCAAGATTATACACAAGTATATGGACATACTTTATTTAGGGAAAGGAATTAGCAGGCATATTATGTAAACACGTAATGAGGAAATTCTAAGAGAGATGAAATAAATCACCTGTACTCTGCCGGCGGCATCGCATCAGCGTGACATTCGAATGACGCACCGGAGTATAACAGTGCAGTTGTTAGTCGGTCCGGTCCGACCGCGCTGATCGTCGGTGGATCTGCGATAGATGAGCTTGGTTACGAAGAAAAAACAGTTACTTCGTCTAACAGTTTCTACTCTCATCTCTCCCCCACGCTATATATATTATTTATGCAGAGGATCGTTTTCATGTCAGAATAGTCATGGCCGTAACAATAATTAGAATCGGATGAGGAACGAGCAAATTGAAAATAATACATTTACACGTACAGTTAACCGACACCTGTACCGAGACCGGACTGCTCTCGCCCTCAATGTTTGACGCCTCGCAGAGGTAAACGGCGGCGTGATTTCTATAAATCGGGGAGAACATGAGGGTTTCTCCGATACTGGCGACTTCCGTCACCCCGGGACTCTTGGTTTTCCTCCAGAGAATCGAGGCTGGCGGATTGGCGTCGGCGAGACATCGGATTTCCAGCTGATCGCGGCCCTCCTCCAGCTGGCCAGTTGGGACGCCGACTAATCTCGTCTCCGGCGCGTCTAAATTCATGCGAAATGCGCAGAGTTAATCACGGGAGCCCTAATCCCCCGCGTGCCAAGAGTATGTATATCAATTTATTGTAATATACATGACGATTTCTGCTCCGTTCGAAATTCTAGAAACTGCTGCGATGGTAATATTTTTCATCTTTGGTGGAACGATATAAAAAAAGCGAGAGTAAGACCTACCTAGCGATTTTAATGAGAACAAGGCGGAAATTATGTATAATTAGCCCGGAAGAGCCTTTTCATATTCATGTCGCTCGGTAAACAAGAGGAATTCAACGCAAATGCAGTCGGGAAAGCGAGTCCCGTTATCATTGCCGGCTTTAATCACACCGGAATCACCGGTCGCGGTGTGTAAGAGACCGCGAAAGATAAACATTAGATTCAGAACAAACAAACGCGGTCCGTGGCATAAACTTTTCAAATTAAACCGCTCATTAATGAGCTTTTAATCCAACGATCGTTGCTCGACATTTTCGGAACGAAATTCCAACCCGTCGACTTCATTTTCATGCCATCTTATCGAGTAATGTAAAATAAAATTTGCCTTTTGTATTACTTCCTTTCTTTTCGATGAATAAAATTGTTCGTTTCCAAGAAAGCAAAATGTGTCGTCGTTTTGCAAGACGGATTCTGGTTCAAGGGGAAATTAAATTATGCGAACGCGGTCAATCGTACCATTGTTTTCCCGATGGACCGAGCAAACTAGAAACACCACGCTGACTTTGGTTTCGCGTATAACTGATGGTACCTGGTGGGCACAGTGGAAAAAGCGTGTGCCCGGGTCACGCGGTAATTACCTTCTTCGAATAATTAATTAATCACCGTGACCGAGATGAATTTTGTGAAATATATCGCGCGCGCGCAAGAACGTATTGCCAGATCGTTTTAGTATTAACTTGTATGTGTATATATTGAAATAGCGTTGCGCGAGTCGCGCACTGGTCGCAATTTATTATTGCTTGTTATTTGATTCTTCAGCAGGTGCGTAATCGACTGTTATTTATGGAGCTTCTCGCGTTTTACGTCCAAGAAATACGAGCGAACGTTATTACCGTTCCCCGTGGGACGTTTAATTATTTTTTGCATTGCAAAAGCATTGTTTAAATGCATTGCGTTCACGCGCTCGTATGCATTTTTTATATTACGCGATATACATATAATGCAATGAATAATTCTTTACCTTTTAATTCGCGGATCGTAATTTCAACGTGCTTGATGATGCACGAGCTGTAATTTCGGTTGATTTTGATGGGAAACTGGCACAGTTACGGCATCCTATTCACCGAGTGATGATATAATTCATGTTTATTTATTCGATATTTATTTAATTTACGAGCGGGTATAAACCGGAGCCAATTTTCATCAACGAGCCGGCTCACTTCTGCTTTCCATATTCATGTAATAGGTCGTCGTTGCGGCCATTAAAAATGTTAAACGCTGTTACGTTTAATGAATAACATTATAGTGCATGCAACGAGATGAGCTACAAACATAAAACCGAGTTAATCCGCGTCACTTTGAGAGTTAATATGACACACATACACACATTATATGTACATATAATAAAGGCATATGTATATCTACGTATATATTACATATATGTATATGTACACACATTTATTATTGTAGATTATAAAAACATGTCAATTCTCAAAGCGACGCGGATTAACTCGGTTTTACGTTTGTAGCTTATCTCGTTACGTATGCTATAACGTTATATATATGTACGTATATACAGGGTTGGGAAAGTTACTTTATAAAAGTATCTAGTTACAGTTACAAGTTACTAATTCTGAAAAGTAACGCGTTACAGTTACTCAAAAAGTAACGAATCGTTACTTTGCAGTTACTTTCTTACAATGAAAATAAAAATATTAAATCTGTAGTTGAATTATAATATAAAGTGTCGATAAAGCCCGGGTAGCACAAAGTATTGGCGTAGTATTGGGAAATAATGTAAATGCAATACCGTACAATTATTGATACGTAACATTGGCGTTACATTAGCCTTTATTCTATATTCAATATTATAATTTTATTGGGCAATCTTGCCCAGTACAATTTCGATATTAATCCAAATTTTCGTCGATTATTAAAATTAATCAATTGCGAAAATTGTTGGAATTTCGGGCGTTGATTCCAAGAAATGACATAGCGCCGCGAACACCGGTTGAAAACAGTCTATTGTGTCGAATCATTCAGCGCGTATCAGTCGAGCGAGGCGGATGTTCCGCGTGTCTTCGCGTCGCTCCTCGTAACGCGATCATTTCCTACGAGAGTTATTAACATTTATCAATCGCATTTAATTACTTGTCGCGATATCCGTAATCTTATCGCTCATTTCTGCGGTGTTTGTCGAGAAGAATATCACGCGTAATTTGAAGTAGAAATGCCATAAGGGAATTACATATATAAATTATTAGTTAGGTTCGATATATCCACGAGCGCTAATACCTTTTTTAACAATCGAACTCGGATGAATCTCTCTCACATCGTGCATTAAATAGCAAACCTAATTTATGTTCACTCAATATTCATTTTTCTAAATATACACATCTTTACGGTTTTTTTGTCGATAATCCCCTCCTCGGGTACTACCTTGTCGTGGTGGAGGGGCTTAAGTACCCTGAAGGGTTACTCTCTAAAAATCACTCAGTGGTTTATTACTGAAAACAATGAATATTCACTGATTTACAGTAATGATGCACTGATTAATTTTTAGAGAGTACAGACCCTAAAGACGGGACGACCGAAGGTACCCATCGCGTTTGGGAGTGCCGTATAGTATTCGTTAATTAATAAAGACATTAATAAAGACATTTCAAAGCTCGTTTGAAAGATATCTTTAAATGTCCGTTCCTGTCGATGGCCACACTTCCGAGATTTGGCAGTTTTTGGGACGAGCATTAAGATCGCTTGTGCATGCAGCATCTTACGCCAAGTGCCCGGGCACGCGGTGATGCCGGCCGTTGCATGGACTCACTCGTAATGTGACTTGTC